AGAAGGGGTGTGGGCCATCCCTGGTGTTCCTTGCTAAGAATTTCCAAAAGTAGGAGAAGATTGAGAGGCCATGATCTCATTTGCAGAGAACCAAAGCTCCCTGGCCAGGCAAGTGGACCCCCCCACCAACCCATGCTCCCCTCTCACCTACAGGTTCCTGAGAACCTCGGAATACGATTAGTCCTCAACAGGTGAGGGCAGAAAGGCCATCGGGCCCCTCTACCACCCTCTCCTCGCCTCTACCTTTCCCTCGCCATTCGTCCCCATTTAGCTCCGTGGAAAGAAATGAGGAAACAGGGAGCATGTCAGGAAGAAATGTGTCTTTTTTCTACCCCATTTTATAGCTAATGGTCATGAAGACATGGGCAGCAGGTATGGGATGCAACATCTGGCTAAAAGAGAAAGCAACAAAAACCAAAACTGGTGCTTAAATGTTCAGCGTAGAAAGCTCACCTGTCCATACAGCCCAGTCACTAACACACACGGGAGTGGTCAATCCCATGTGGGAAGAAAGCTGATGAAGAGGGGAACGGGCACACACACACTCACCTGACGGGGTCATTCAACCCAGTATTTCCTAAGGAACTGCTATGTCTAAGGCACTGGCTTGGCACCACTCAAGACCCCAATTCAATCCAGTTCTGGCACTCAAACAGCTGAGAGTGTCATAGTGGGGATTCAAGTCAATTAAAATTGATGGAGCACCTACTAGGTGCCAGGCACGTCTAGATGGCGGGAGTACAGTAAGTCACAAAAAAGGAGAACCATGGGATCTCTCCTCATAGGTCTTATATTCTACAAAATAAGACATCTATTCAGCTGAGTAAAATATAGGGCAAAATATGGTTAAGTGCCTCCAGAGGTACTAACGTGTATTAAGGGGTTTTAAAAAGAATGAATGTAAAATGAAAGGCAGATCATAAAAATCCTAATAAAGACTGGCCTCCCCCCGCGCTTCCACAATACTCTACCAGTGGTTCTCAACCTTCCTAATGCCGCGACCCTTTCATACAGTTCCTCATGTTGTGGTGACCCCAACCATAAAATTATTTTCGTTGCTACTTCATAACTGTAATTTTGCTACTGTTATGGATCGTAACGTAAATATCTGATATGCAGGATGTATTTTCATTGTTCGCGACCCACAGGCTGAGAACCGCTGCATGCATAGTGTTTCCCTGACCCTACTGAACTATTCGCTTAGTTCACCGTGTTCAGTGTCTGGACCTACCAGAGAGTCAGTAGATGTTTGTGGGCTGGTGTTGGGTGGTTGTGGGTGGCTGGTATGAAGCTGGTTTCATTGATGAGCAGGTAGAGAGAAAAGGTAATGAAGAGGAGCAGGGAGAGCCCTGGCCAGGGTGGTTCAGTTGGTTGAGCGGTATCCCATGTACCAAAAGGTCACTGGTTTGATTCCCGGTCAGGGCACATGCCCGGATTGCAGGTTCCACCTCCGATTAGGGTATGTATGGAAGCAATCAATCGATATTTCTATCTCACAGATTATTCTCTCTCTCCCTTTCCCTTCCTCTCTCTCTAAAATCAATAAAAACATATTTTTTTAAAAAAAGAGGGAGAGAGGTGAAAAGTCTGGAAGGATAGACAGAAGTTGAATAAGCAGAGCTGGCATTCTAGGCAAAAAAGACAATATATTAAAAGGCACAGAAAAATGTTGAAAGTGTTGGACTGGAGCATAGGTTATAAAAGGAAGCTAAGAGTGGGGGGAGGGGAGTAAAGAAGATGGAAAGCCCCTTGAGAATGAGATTGTGTGTAGGCAGAGCAGCCCCCCAAAAATGTCCACACCCTAATGGTTATAACCTGTGGCTATACCTTTCGTGGCTAAAGGGCTTTTGTGAATGTGATTGGGGTTAAGTGATTAGGGTGTGTATGGAGGCAATCAATCGATATTTCTATCTCATAGATTATTCTCTCTCTCCCTTTCCCTTCCTCTTTCTCTAAAATCAATAAAAACATATTTTTTTAAAAAAAAGAGGGAGAGAGGTGGGAAGTCTTGAAGGATAGGCAGAAGTTGAATAAGCAGAACTGGCATTCTAGGCAGAAAAGACAATATATTAAAAGGCACAGAAAAATGTTGCAAGTGTTGGACTGGAGCATAGGTTACAAAAGGAAGCTAAGAGTGGGGGGAGGGGAGTAAAGAAGATGGAAAGCCCCTTTAGAATGAGATTGTGTGTAGGCAGAGCAGCCCCCCCAAAATGTCCACACCCTAATGGTTATAACCTGTGGCTCTACCTTTTGTGGCTAAAGGGCTTTTGTGAATGTGATTGGGGTTAAGGACCTGGAGATGGAAGAGGGTCCTGGATTATCCAGGTGGGTCCAAGCTAATTACGTGAGTCCTCAGCATCAGGAAGCCTTCCCAGCGGCAAGCAGAGAGATGTGACCACAGCAGAGGCAGGAGAGACACGAAGTGTGAGAAGGACTTGGCCTACTGTGCTCCTCCCCAGATATCTCACTGCCTCACCTCCTTCAGGGTATCACTGAAATGCTGCCTTTCTCACTAGGAATTCCACGGCCGCTCTAAACTGGAAGCCACTACCTATCACAGACCCCAAGTCTGAATTGACTGCCTTCCCTGATGTACGTATTTATTTAGTGTCATTAGCACGCATCACCCTCTAACGGTTAGAGTCTAACCCCGTGGTCGGCAAACTGTGGCTCGCGAGGACCCTTGAGTGTGGCTCTTCCACAAAATACCACGTGCGGGCGCACGTACAGTGCGATTGAAACTTCGTGGCCCATGCGCAGAAGTCGGTTTTCGGCCTGGGCGAGTCTATTTTGAAGAAGTACTGTTGATATTTGGCTCTGTTGACTAATGAGTCTGCCGACCACTGGTCTAACCTATCCCTCAATATCCCAAATTTATCTGGTGTCCGAGTTCAGAGAGTTAAAGGGGGGTGATAGCAAGGTATGCACCCCTTATCCAAATCTAAGTGATTCCTGAGTTTTGGATAACATGTGGTGAGAGTTCACAGACCAAAACATTCCTCCCAAATTGACCAAAATCAATTTAGTTCCTAAGTTCTTATAGGGAGAGCTCAGATAGTGTGATACGGAATACATCAGGTACTTCCTAGAAAGTTTACTGATTTTATTATTCATTTTCTACATCCCCCTGCTCTAGAATACAAGCTCCATGAGACCAGCTGTTTTTGCCTGTTTTATTCACTGCTATACCCCCAGCACCGAGGCCAGCGCCTAGCACATAGTGGGCATTCAAATAGTTGGTGAGTTGATTAATATTTGAAGATGTAGGAGCCATCGAGGTTCCCGAGGTAAAGCATGGACAGACAAAACAGAACAGGGACTAGAGAGATCACCAGGGGCCACACTGGAGGAAGGAACTGGAGAAAGCAGAGACCTCGGGCGGGAAGACGAGGGAAAGGACGTACCACGCCAGCTAACAGGAAAGTGCGGCTCCCAAAGGGGGCGGTGGGCAGAGTCGAATGCTTAGAGGTATTCAGAAGGTATCGTGAGAAGGACAGGAGTCATTTTGAGGTGAATGAGTTGCTGAGATGGAAGCAGAAGACAGACAATAAAGGGCTAAAGAGTGACCGCATGGAAAGGCAGTGAGAAGAATGAGAAAAAGAAGATGTCCTAGAAAGTTTTAACAAAGCAGAGGGGAGAGCGGGGGCACTGTGTGAAGGGTGTCTGTTATGTTCCGTTTGGCTGTTTCGTTATAAAGGAAAGCTAACCTCTGAGAGCAGGGACTGCGTCTGCCTTGCTCACTGCTCTTCCCTTGAGGCCGCACACAGAGCCACTGGGAGTGGGCGGGGAATAAAGATTTCCTGCTGGACGCACAGACCAGAGCCGGATGGGCGGGAGAAGGCCGCAGAGGAAGTGAGAGCCCGCATCAGGGACAGCCATGAGAGGACCCCAGTCAGCTGTGTTCTGACACGGAAACACAGGAAGAAAGAGGAGGGCAGAGCATTGAGGCACGGAGGAGGGGGGCTCGAGGGGTCACGCGGAGCGGCCTCGGGGTGCTCAGTGAGGCTGAAGGTGGAGGCACTGCTCACAGCAAGGAAGACGACTCGGCAGTGGAGTCTTGGGAATAAACGTATGGAATGGCTACCATCAGGAACAGGGTGAAGAGTCGATAAGAAATGAAAAAAGGCCTGGCTGGAGTGGCTCAGTGGTTGAGTGTCGACCCTGAACCAGGAGGTCGCGGTTCAATTCCTGGTCAGGGCACATGCCTGGGTTGTGGGCTCAATCCCTAGTAGGGGGGTGACCAATCAATGATTCTTTCTTATCACTGATGTTTCTCTCTATCTCTCTCTCTCTCTCTCTCCCTCTCCCTTCCTCTCCGAAATCAATAAAAACGTATTTTTTTAAAAAAAATGAAAAAAGGATGGTTGCAACCTAATAAATAGATTAAGAACCAAATTCAGGGTCTCAGAGCCCACCCGGGGCGCTGACACTCCGTGTAGAGATGGCACCTGCTCCAGCAATCACTCACCTGCGGTGGGCTTAGACCACTCCAAGTCAACCTCAGCGAGATCCTCGAGCTCCTGCTCTGCCTGATTGAGAGACACGGAGAGGATGCGGACAGACGTGTAGGCCGTGGTGTTGGCCAGCTCGCTTACAGCATTAAATATCTAGAAAAGAAATAGGAACGTCATTTCTTACACCAACCTGTTTGGGGGGTGGTCAACTATCCAACTGCCTCTTGAACACCATGAACTGTGGACCAAAAAAGGGGGCCCATCCTAAACCTGACAAGCTCGGGGGAGGCCAGTCTGGTGGACCCTACAAACTCAGAGACTGAAGGTAACCACAGAGGATGGTCTGAACATAAAAATTCCTAAGGAAAAGCGAGTCACGGCGGGTAGTCCAGTCCCAGGCCTGTAGCTCCCTGGACAAAGGTCAGTCTTTACCTGAGGTGAGCCTGTCCATTGTCTTCTGCATCTAAGATAACAGACCTTTGAAATGTCAGCGTGATCTCCTTGTCCAGACCTCTTACGGCACACCTACCGCACCCGGCTGTTACCTTCTCTACATGCTACCTCTATGTACATGTTAGTTAACTACCCTGCACCCACCCATGTAAAAGAAGTATGTGTCTGTTCATTTTACTTTTGATCTGATTCCAGGTATTTCCTTGCGTTGCTTTCTCCCGCCCCCTTAATCGACCACCAATGGATTTCATATAACCCTCCTTGCGTCTCCTCCTTTGCCATTCTCTGGAGCATTTTCTCAATCCACTGAGATTTAGGGGCCCATCCTAAACCTGACAAGCTCAGGGGAGGCCAGCCTGGTGGACCCTACAAACTCAGAGACTGAAAGTAACCACAGAGGATGGTCTGAACATAAAAATTCCTAAGTAAAAGGGAGTCACGGCGGGCAGTCCAGTCCCAGGCCTGTAGCTCCCTGGACAAAGGTCAGTCTTTACCTGAGGTGAGCCTGTCCATTGTCTTCTGCATCTAAGATAACAGACCTTTGAAATGTCAGCGTAATCTCGTCCAGACCTCTTACGGCACACCTACCGCACCCGGCTGTTACCTTCTCTACATGCCACCTCTATGCACATGTTAGTTAACTATCCTGCACCCACCCATGTAAAAGCAGTGTGTGTCTGTTCATTTTCCTTTTGATCTGATTCCAGGTATTTCCTCGAGTTGCTTTCTCCCGCCCCCTTAATCAACCACCAATGGATTTCATATAACCCTCCTTGCGTCTCCTCCTTTGCCATTCTCTGGAGCATTTTCTCAATCCATTGAGATTTTGCTTCCTGACAATTGTTGTGAGTGTGGCTCAAATAAACCCATAAGAATTCTCTACCGGTTTGGATATTTCTTATGTCTGAACTCCTTCTGAGCCTTCAATACACCAATATGAAACGAATAACTGAAACCAATGATGGGGTGGTATGAGTCACCTTGATCTACCCTGTCCAAAAGAGATCATGAAGAATCATGTCCCCAAAGAAGGTCAGAATGCAATAAAACCTGCGATCGCAAGGAGCAAGTCTGTGTTGGATGAGAGGAACAATGGTGTCGTTTAGGCTAAAGAAGAGCAACTGCCCATTGGACCACTGTCATATCTTGAAATGAAAATACTTCTATTCAGAGAAAGTATCTGAGAGCATAAAATTCTTTTAAAAATGGAGCCCAAAAGGCCTGAGGGAGGCAGATTGGTGTCATCCATACCACATAAGAGAAGCATATAAAACACACACACACACACGCCTGAGAAATGATTGCTGAACTGCTGAAACAAACTGAAATCAGCCTCAACGTGCTTATGTTCTCATCTGGGTCTCAGCAAATCACCAAAGAAAAACTTGGGAGAAAATAGCAATTTGAAGAGTAGAGTCCAGGGCGCCTGCTGAGAACAGTCCCCAGAAACGAGACAAAGAAAAGTGTCCATCCCAAATCGCTTTGTGAACCCACTGCTGAGCGTATGACGGGAAGGACGTGGAGTTTTTCTGGACAAGAACATGTGTGGTCCTACTGGGCATCATTCCTCTAGGAGCTTATGCATAAGCGCTATTTTCTTTAATATGATTTTTTAAAAGAAGATATTGTAAAGACATTATTTTGCTTTAGCTTTTGCTTTGTTCTTTCTTGTCTTGTCTCCTGGACTGGTCTGGTGTCCCCAAACAAAGGGCTAACGGAGCGTCAGGAAGCCCAGTCATCACTGGCCTCGGGGAACGCGCGCTCCAGCTGAGGCAGGCCTGCCCAGCGAGAGGCACAGGAGGCTGGCTGCCTTCCATTGGCCGCTCGCCGCAGGAGCGCAGCTGGCTCGCCTTCCCTCCCGCCCACCGCCGAGAATACAGCTGGCCCTCCAGCCCACATTGTAAGATAAATGATGGAGCTGCCAGATTGCCCCACAGAGCATTTCACTGAAATACGCGGCCCCCCGGCCCCCACCCCCGCATCGCCTCTGGACTTGCCGCTGAGCCTGCTGCGGCCACTGAGGTGGCCAGACACAAATGGCTCTTTCGGTCACAATGGAAGCCACAGCCTGAATCGCTCCCTGGGAGCCGCAGCTCTCGCCTGTCAGGGTTACGGGTCTTCCCACAGCTGGGACACACGGTACATACAGTCTCGGGAAAATTCCACAGGAAATCCAGATCCGTGTGTTCAGGATCCTGCCTGGCAAGCTGAATGTAAAATAAACATCAATGCGTGAGGACAGGCCAACGCACTCACAGTGTATTCTGGCAGGGAAATTATTTCTCAGCAGCCAGTACCTGTAAAGAATCATCTCCCTTGAAATTCAGTTCCTCGCTAAGTGCGAAGGCTCGGCTGTTGCTTCCATGGAAACAGTGGATGGAGCTGCTTCCATTCTCTCCACCCACACCAGCTTCCGCAGCCACGGGGAACTCAAGTGCCTCATCGCCTGAGACGCCAGCTCGGGAGGCAGCGTGGTGAACATGCTACTTGTCTTTTACACCCGCCGCTAACACTTGAGATACTGCAAGGCCAACGAAGTCGGGGTGGCTGGCGTTCTCCTATATTGTCACCAGCACAGAGAACTGGATCTAAAACACTGGCTGGAAAACTTCTATTTTCAAACTCACATTTGTGTATTATTTCAAGTCAAAACTTGAAAGCCAACGTGAAGTGGTAACAAAAATGGGGGTGGGGACCCTAGCCGGTTTGGCTTGGTGGGTACAGCATTGGCCTGCAGACCGAAGGGTCTCAGGTTCGATTCTGGTCAAGGTCAAGGGCACGCACCTGAGTGGCAGGCTCCATCCCTGGCCCTGGTGAGGGTGTGGTGCAGGAGGCAACCAATCGATGTGTGTCTCTCACATCGATATTTCTGTCTGTCTCTGTAAAAATCAATGGAAAAATATCCTCAGGTGAGGATTAGCAAAAAAAAAAAGGGGGGGCGGGGAGGGGAGGAAATTCTTGCTGTACCCGATCCTTCTGAACCTGGCGTCCTCCCCCTGTATCAGCAAGCCTTTTTGATGGCTGCATCTCCTCAGGGATATTGGCAACAAACTTAGGAATAAAGAGATTTCAGGAAGATTTTCATTTAAATGACACTTGGCTTCCCTGCTGATGAAAGGGGAAGCCTTACTCCATCTGCTGAGATCAAATTTCATCTCATCAAACACCTCAGTGTAATTATTTTTCCACCAAGTATTTAAATGAGGATGGAAATGAACACCAAGGTATTTGAAGTCATTAGGGCTGCTGGGCTGAGAGGGAGCAACGCGGCCTCTCCAGGGACCAGCAGTCCAGCATCAAAGCAGCTGCTCACCAGTGTTCCATTTGTAACCTTTACACCACATTCTTGAATTAATGAAGAAGCGTCAAGACTCTATTTCCTCGGAGAATCTTGGCATGGGGTCTGCAGGAGGAGCAAGGCCTGTGGGGTGTGTGTGTGTGTGTGTGTGTGTGAGAGAGAGAGAGAGTATACGCGTGTGCGTTCTATATTGCACCTTCTATAGTTATTGGGGAAATTGGGGTCTCCTCTTGCCCACTGGGTGGAGGAGGTGGGGTCCTTACACTATCTCCAGAAAAAGAATTTGGAGTCCGCATGGCTGTGGGCCATGTGGGTGAACACACGGTGGGGTCCTTACACTATCTCCAGAAAAAGAATTTTCTGAGACTCACACGGGAGGATGTGGTTTTCATCTGCGTGGAATTACATCCCTGGTTTTCCAAAGTCCCGTTCTGGTCATGGAAGAAGTAGCTGGGGTTTCGGTAAAACTGGGAGCAAAGCCAGTGTCCAGTTTTGTGTGTGTTTTTTCCATGTTGGAACCAGCTCCGGTTCAGCATCGGGCGAGCAGCAGTCCATTAGTCCACGGTGCTGGAGTCCGCATGGCTGTGGGCCATGTGGGTGAACACAGGAGAGCCAAGCCTGAGCCATGAGCCACGTGTGCCAGGAGGAACCAAGAGAGGGAATGTCTTTGTTTAGGGATTAAATATCCCCCGTTTCTCATCCTTGCAGCGGCCATGCCCATTGCGGTCAATGACCTGTTCCCAAGTGTGACTGACAGACCAGTACCTTACAGACGTCACCCCAACGTTACTGGACGTATATCTCGTCTCCTCCCTGGGGTGTGTGCAAAGTGTTTGCTTCCTGGTGAAGTTGCCCAAATGACATGCCTATAATATTTGGCCTTCCCTTTGCTCCTGTCCTATTATTAATAACTAGTTAACGGCCATGGTATCACTACTACAGTATAATACAGCAGTTTTAAAGTTGAGGAAGTAACTATAAATGAGCCATCCATCATTACTTCTGTGGATCTTTCATTGTAATGTGCTAATAACCCTTCTCTTCTGGATTGTAATTTCTCTACTTGGAGAGGAGGAATATGGGGATTGCCAAGATATTGAAAACGGGTTTCCTGTCTAACATTGGCCATCTTCTTCTGAGCCTGCCTAGAAATACCCAAGACTTAAGACCTACCCTGTCTTAGGAGGCGACAGATGAACATTTAGACTTTTCTCCATTTATAAACATCTCACTCGGCGTTATAAATAACACGCGATTTAAAAATTCCACTTCACCCTAACAACAAGATAGGCATGCAATCTGCCATGTCCTTCATTTGAATGTGAAGAGTGGTATGTTATAGTGGGAACTTTACCTCCTCAGAAGAGTCACATGGAGGGAGAAAAGGGGAAAAAAAGAGACA